TTTTGGTGACTGAACTTCTGTTTGAGATACTTTAATCTGGGATGTAAATCTAGAACACACCTGAAGAAGGATGCAGAGTACTTGTAGACGACCTGTTTGATCTGATTTGTATCTTCTATGACGGCAGGCAGCCATGGATTTCGTGGTGGAAGAGGACCTGAAGGCCCACTTGACCTGCTGGTACATCCAGAAATACGTCAAAGAGAATCCTCAGCCTCAGTACTTTGAACATATTTATCAATGACCCGATGCTGCTCTGACAGGAGCGGGAGAAAGAGACTCCCGGAGGATTCACACTGTGCTGCAGCATGCTTTGGAGTTACAGGACCGATACACAAACAGGACCTTCCAGGCATTGTTAAAAAGGACTTTGAGCTACTCCAGAGACACAGAGAAGACGTCTGTGAGCTGAGCATTCGGTCCACGCTTGACTTTTGTCCAGAACCAGAACCAAGAAGCGGACCAGCCGGCCACAAATTCTGATAATTATGAGCAGTTAAAGTAACCAAAGCTGTTCCGTCAGACCGAAACCCTCCCACCACTGATGGAAACGAAGGGTTAGGAATGATGGAGACCAGCTGTGGGTCAAATATTGGGATGCAAATTCTCTGTCCTCCCCTCATTTGTTCATTGGTCGTGAGCAAGTGATGGGCGCCGGCGTTGTCTAAATAGAGACAATGATGCCTTCACTGACCAACTGTGATGACTTTTGTGCTTCCTCTTTCTTTATATTCTTCTTTATTTTTGGGCTACCCTGTCAGTAAAGTTTGGTTTCTTTGGGCTAAAATGCTAGTGTAGTAGATTACAAATGCTAAAGTTATCTTTAACATCAGAAGAGAAGGGGTGTGACGATACCTGGCGATGCAAATTAAAGAAAAAGATATAATTTGTATTTTGAAAACATTTCTTTTCTCAAACTCTGGAGATCCTCTCACATTCTGCTCGGTAACAGACTTTTATGATCTATAATTTGTGTCTCGAATTGATCCGGAAACAGTGCAGGGATTTGTAAACCAAAGAACAAACACCGAGTAATAATGATCTCGACTGTGTGTTAAAGGTTACATTCAAGGTCAAAGGTCACATTAACACACGTGTGATAAATTGGGTCTGAAGTTTGTCACTGTGGTTAAAAAAAAAAAAAAAAACCTCAGTGGGGATATTGATGAATATTTCTGCTCCAACCAGCGTTTCATAAAACAGCACTGTTACATTCTGCCTCCCTTTAGTCATTCAGGAAATGATGTGTAAAGGTCTTTACTCATTAACCCTTCCCCTTATGTCAGCTGATGAGGGTCATCAGAGAGGACAGCTCGTCGCGGCGCTCTCTCTTTCACCTCTTCATGAGTTGTCTTTTTGTTGTTGCTGTTGACAATCTAAAGTGTTGAAGAGAAGAATCCCTCAGGTTACTCCACACTGTCAGGATGAAGATGAGCGTGTTGTCTGCTTCGATCGCCCAGAGGTTACTGCAGGAAATGACTCTCTCTCTCTCTTAGGTGATGCACCTACTCCTCTTCTTGTTCTCATGTTTGTATCCGTGTGTTTGCTTGAAAGGAAATCCTGAGCTGCATGGCTCGACCAGATGAGTAAAAATGAACCGATATTCATTTGTTTTGTGCGTTACACTTCTGTTTTTTTTCTTCTTGTTATCTATAAATAAAGAAATCGAAATTTCATTGAGTATTCTCAGAATATTTTATAAAGAACAGAACAGTTATACTTTCTTTTTGCAGCTTCACTTCAGCTGAGCTGTTTATCACATGAATGAGTTTTTGGATGTCAGGCTAAAAAAAAAATAATGTTTTGATTTTGTTTTTAATGTTTCATGGAAAGATTAAAAACTCAAAGTAGTCGTTTAGTTATTTTATACAGCAGCATTAAGCATGAGATCAGTTAAAGTCAGTGTTGGTATCCCGAGAAAGCAAGATAGTTAAGTCTAGTTCTTGGAAAAAACAACCTAAAGTTACTTATCACGGGAAAACGGAGTAAAATAAAATATATGGATTTATGTCCGCTTGGGGTTTCCGTACTTTTAAAGCCCGAGTTATCACACGGTGTGGATTCATTTGAATAAAGTGGTCTAGCAGCCACTGAAGTGGGAAATAAATCGATCTCAGCAAGATGGAAAAATAATTAAATCATCAATATATCAGAGGGATGTCTTTATCTTTAAACTGTATATATATGTTCATCATAAAACGTAGATATTCTCTTGAAAAATGTTAATCACGCAACAAACCGCATCATAACAAAAAGGTGTTTATTTCGTCTTAAACGTAGATCTGGCGCCACCTGGTGGAGGTATTAAGAATGACATTATTGTAAAGACAAGGTAAGCTGAATTTTTCTTTTGTCACAAACAAGGCTGGACAAAAAGGGAGACCACACGGTTTAAAGAGTTAGTTTATTAAAAACTAAGGCAAACATCCAAGTAAACTAACATTCAGTCTGTAATTGCAATGGTGTGTGTGGTGTTGCTTTGACAAAACAAAGACAACAAACCAAAGCTGGTGATGTTAAGAGAGAGAGAGAGAGAGAATGAGTTCCAGGAGCATGAAGTCAAATTAACTGGCCCCGCCCCTCCCTATCAAAGCAACAGGAATAGCGCTGACACATTCAGGGGTCGTCACAGACAGTGAACATAAACACAATGAGGCCCTACCTTTATTACCAAACTGCACATTTAATCAGCTTCCAATAAACATAAAACACATAAATGTGTAAACACCATCTGCTGTCTAATGTCCTCCTAAGTGCCCAAGGGTCTACTCTCTGTTCGTTTGTTTATTAAGATCCCCATTAGACTCTGTATTAAACCGTACAGCTACTCTTCAGGGGCTCTTCATTGACAATATTTTGTTAGTTATAGATTACATAAATACACATCAATAACATTTATTCTCACAGTACAACTTTAACTTCATTATTACCCCAAAGGAAATTAGATCTGCAGCATGCAACAAGACACGACAGGCACACAAATGACAACATCACAAATAAAGAAAATCCACAGCTCAAGTGAAAAACAGGTACTTCATCCACACTGAGCCCGAGGCTGAAACAGTTCAGCTGCACAGGACAGAAAACAGCATTAAGTCAAATAAAGTGCTGTGCAGTCTGTGAAATAAGTAGTTAAAATGAATATTCAAGCTAAATATCTTAATCTGTATATTATTAGTATAGCATGCTCACTGCATCTTAATCTGTATATTATTAGTATAGCATGCTCACTGCATCTTAATCTGTATATTATGATCCTAAAAACACACCTATTTTGTAGCATTACTTATTTATAGCATTTATTTATATTTATTGCATCCCATTAATCCAGCCATCCAGATTTACCAAATAATTCACTTTCTTTGTCTACATCTGTAAATTTTGCAATTACTGTACATAGCACAGAATTACTGTACATAGCACAGACTCTTGCACTCAATTACTGTACATAGCACAGACTTTTGCACTTTCTGCTTATTTGCACTTCTGGTGAGATGCCAAACCTCATTTCGTTACTCTATACTTGTATATGTGTAATGACAATAAAGTTGAATCTCATCTCATCTCAAATAGGTCGTTTATCATATTTTAAGAACACTAATATGTGTCTCTAGTCTGTCTACAAACCCCCCAATGATGAGAAAAGTCCATCCTTTTTGTCTTTTGCCTGCTCCACTTTTCAGAAAATGTGTGCTCAAACAGGCTGTTTGGAGATTTTCCTTTATGACATCACAAGGGGAGAGTTAAAACCGCCTACCTTCTCTGGTCCAAACAAATCCAGAGCATTCAGGACCAGAATCTAAAGTTAGAAGGAGGACATACTGGCTGCTGCATTGTTGTCAGAGAAGCCAGCACTTCAACATAGCATGTTTCCTTAATGTCTGATCATATAGTAAGATCACTTTATCATTTCACTCAGTAGATATCTTAGATATTGCTCCTGTAAATTTCTTAATAGGAGTATATGTGACCTTTAAATAAAGGTATTAAATGTAAAGATGCCATAATGGATAGTCTTTATTTTTTTGGATTGATTTAGATCGATAGATAGATAGATAGATAGATAGATAGATAGATAGATAAATAGATAGATAGATAGATAGATAGATAGATAAATAGATAGATAGATACTTTTGATTGATCCTGAGGGAAATTCAAAGCATCCAGTAGCATACATATATATTAACCCGAAAAAATATTTAAAGAATCAAACTTAAACTGTGCAATTGAAAATAGACTTATACAAGAAATGTACATAACCCGTGCAGGGATAAAAATATATGTGTAATTTAAAGCAAGAACCTATAAACAGTTGAGGGAAATAATCTGTAATTAGACCTGAATATAAAAAATAAAAAAGTGTTGACCTTCTGAAGTTGTTTATGTATGTACAGCAATGTTTAAAAAAGCAGATAGTGCAGAGTTATCAAAAACAGACATTAAATAACAGACATTTATATTAAAACGTCATACAAGCGTCATTAATTCTCCGGGTTAATAAAAAAATAGCTATTTAATTGTTGTGACAGGTACAGCGTTTGGTTTCAGGTAACCATTGTAGTTGTTACATTGAACGGTGTCAGGTTACAGCACGCGGACAGGAGAGGTAGCTCAAACTAGTGCACGGGGACAAAGCGACGGAGCTCACGAGGGCACAATATGGGTGAGTAGCTCGAGCTTACAGACACAAATATTAATGCAAAACTTAATCACTGAAACTCAATATTACATGATGTGTATGCGTGTATGTTCTTACACATTAAAATCTGTCCGGTTCCGGTTTTTATTTGGCACTCATTTTATATGCTTACGTCATGTGTAATATTTCATGTAAATATTTTGTGAATTTGTATTATTTCTTCATTAAAATATGCTCTGACCTCTCAAACTTCGGTGGGCTGTTATAAAATACGTAGCGGAAGGTCCTCTGCCTTCAGCGTATCACGGGGAATGTAGTGTCCATCCACGTCAGTGTCATACGTTAACGAAGCTGATACACTACATTACCCACAAGGCTAAGCGCTCTCATACGTCAACTGCAATCACAGTTGTATTTCCAACATGGCGTCGCTGGGAAGGAGGCGCGGTGTCCCAGTAAGCAGGGAGAGGTCAGTTACTGCACACCTTGGCCATTAAACCAAAATGTTTTCATATGATTCACCTTTTCACCGGCGTCACCATTTGAGAAATGTCAAACGTGCACATCGTTTGAGATTCACGTAAAACGCCAAGACGACAAGTCGGGTTTTTACTGCTAACGTTAGCTAGCTAACGTGTACTGCTAGCTGACGTTAGCGAGAAAACAAACGAGCTGCTCATGTGATGTTTTGATTGTTTCAGCTCGACCTGATCGACTGGAGGAAAAGTTGAGTTTAGCCATTAGTCGGTTCGGTTTGTTTCCACTAACATGCTAAACAATCCCGGCTAAGCTAACGCGGCTGTCTGTTCAGTGTTGTCGACCTTTTCTCGCTGCTCAACTTTAGCTCGTCAGTCCTCCAACTTTCTACAATACAAGCGAGTTAGCCTGCGTTATCTAACCGAAGCTAATGGGGTACATCATGTCCGAAACACGGTGGTCTTCCAAAACATTCACAAGTATCAGTTACGACTTTCCATTTCTTCATTTAGCCCCTGAGCTGCTGTCTGTGAGCCAGCTGTGTTGAAGGCCTCAGAGAGTTCACTCAGACCCCCCCTAACAGATGTTTTTACCAGGTCTGTTATTTAAATGATCAATAGCATCGAAGTGTACCGAAGCTTTAGAGAAATCTACAGATCTTCAGCCACATTTCAACCAAAAAGCTGCTGCGGGAGAGAAAGAGAGAGCAGCAGGGGTTCACTGAAATCCACGTCGGCTTTGCACAGGCTGCTTTTAAAAATCAAAGTACATACACGTTGCATTTATATTTAATTAGACAGATGTGTGGGAGAGGAATACGTTAATAAAAGATTGGAAGTAAACCCCTGCACTCTGTCTAAATTAAACATGTACAATTGTTGCTCATGTTAAAGTTGAATTTGTACGGAGGCCCTGAGGGGACATTGGCAGAAAGTAAGTCTGATGTGCTCGAGAAACCAGCTCTTTTCAGACTGCTGTTTTTTTTTTTTTTCGCAAAGGTGCCGCAACTAAGTTCAGCCTTCATAACATGGTTGTACATTCATATTGATTCTGTGATGTTGTAATATTCTTGTACAAGTCTGTAAGTTCACATTGTGTTTCAGGGATGCAGAAGTACTGCACAGCGGGAGCTCCACATACACAGAATCACACACACACACACAGCGCTATGCTCCTCTGCTGGCTCCGCTGAAACCATCTCGCCTCTGTTACTACCTCTGAAGACGGTACAGAGGGGCGATCATTATGCCTTTGGGACATTAATATTGAAGGCAAAACTTCACAGGGGCGTTAATAGCGCTGTTTGAAATGGCAGTCCGATTAGGGCTACTATCTTGTCCTCACAAGAAACTGCCCGTGAGCACGAGAACTGATCGCATGCGGACAACGTACTTTCAGTTTTCAGCTCATGAGGAAATACAGCGTGCATATTCTCCTGCATGGGTAACAAATAATCGTGAGCATGAGATAGATTTCTGGTGCGCACCAGATACAGAAACATTATTTTATTTTACCAGCCCATGTCCCCTGAGGGGCGCCATAGATTTTCACTAAAATCATTTCACAGTTTAAAATTGTGTTATTGTGACTTCACATTGTCTGTGTTTAAATTAAGTACAAGTTAGTGGGAAAGTAGAGTTTACAGAGTTAGTCGACTCTAAATGATTATTCAGTCAATGGATCAACCATGTTATAATGTTGTTTGCAAAGTTTACACTTCAAAGAGTTGCATTGAATAATTTCTGATGGACTAATTCCTCTCCTGTATTATTGGTATCAAAACATTTTGCCAACCTGAGTCTAAGTTATCGACTTTATCAAATGTTAAGTTGCATGTAGAGTAGAGGCATTAATACATATCAATGTTGGATTCATAATGGTGAAGCAATGTGCCCTTGAATCATGGAGATAGTAGAAATGTTTTAGAGTCATTGACCTTGGAAATGACATTACATGATGGTACTGTATGTTCTACAGGAGGACTGACTGACGGCCACAGATGAAATCCTGTGCAGAAATGTTTCTAAAGACACGAAGCAAAACCTTTTTATTAAACATTTATTAAATCAGGACGTTCTCTGGATTGACACCCCTTCCTCATGGAGACATTGAGACACACAAGGCTCAGAAGGAGAAGACTTTGTGCTGCTGTGTCTCTAAGCCAGACACTTTGGAACATTCTTAATCTCAATGAAGCTTTCCTCCATGTTCCACAGATCACCTGTGTTTGCAACATGTTTCTTCTAAATCCAAAATAAATCAGTCCAAACTGTTTTTCTTTCCTTTCACTGAATTTGCATGAATTACTCCGAGAGTAGCTGATAGTTAGCTTTAGCTTCGTCTGACTGCATCTAAATGGAGTAACTGCATGGACATTATTCCCACGCCTCCGTACAAAAGGACAAATGTTCACATGCGGAGTGAAAGAGCATTGTGTGACTACATGAAGTGTTTTTTTTTTTTTTTTTTAATTTTCATAATTTTTTTTATTGCGATAACGATCAACCACTTGGCTCTCGGGTGATTGAGTATTTGACTTGACTGCCTTTCTTTCTCTCACTCGTCCTCGCTGTTTGTTCTGTTTCCTCACAGGGGAGTGATGGCGGCGACAGACTGCTACATCGTGCACGAGATCTACAACGGCGAGAACGCGCAGGACCAGTTTGAGTACGAGCTGGAGCAGGCTCTGGAGGCCCAGTATAAATACATTGTTATCGAGCCCACACGCATCGGAGACGAGACGGCTCGATGGATTACCGTGGGCAACTGTCTGCACAAGACGGCCGTGCTGTCAGGCACCGCGTGTCTCATGACGCCCCTTTCGCTGCCCGTCGAATACTCGCGCTACGTGGCGCTGCCCGCCGGCGCCCTCAGCGTGGCCTGCTCCGCCCTCTACGGAATTTCATGGCAGTTTGACCCCTGCTGCAAGTACCAGGTGGAGTACGACAGCCAAAAACTCTCACGGCTGCCCCTGCATACGCTCACCTCCTCGACGCCCGTGGTTTTGGTACGCAGGGATGACATCCACAGAAAGAGACTCCATAACACGATAGCACTGGCTGCCCTGGCGTACTGCGCCAAGAAGATCTACGAACTCTATGCGGTATGAGTGCACTCTGAAGAGGGTTTAAAAACCAACATATTAAAGGAAAAAAACAACAAAAAAAACAGAACCTGTCCGCCCCCAGATGTAAGAAAACAGGAAGTCCTGATCGGGCCCAGCAGGTAGCGCCACACGTGCGGTGGGTGCTTCCATTTTGAACTTTGATCAGAGGGATATAGTAAAAACTAGAAGGAATTGTTTGTTCCCTTGCGTTTCCTTTACTTTTTGTGACATCATCAGCACACTTATCTCTGTAGTACCCTTGCGCCTCCCCCAATGCGCCCTTCACCGGCATACTTGACACACAGCAGGCTAATGCTCAAGGGTACGGCAGCAGGTCCTCTGGACTGAACGCCATTGGAGTTGAAACGGACAGTCATGTTCTGAGTATCGCGCTCTCTCTCTCTCCCTCTTTCCCTCGTAGTTTTACTGTACCCCTTCCTCGCTGATCAGTACGTCACCCTTTCATTAAACATTAGGATATTTCAAACTCACTTTTCTGTATTTTATTTTGCTTTTTCTTTTTCATTAAATGGATTCTACATAATGTCCAGAAAGAAACAAAAAGGCTGCGACTTCTTGAGATTGTGTGTCGTTCATGAAGAGTTTCTTGTTTAACGGAGTGATATTTAAGATTTGATATTTCTGTGACTCGATGTGCTCAAAACACTAAAACAATCTGAACTCCTGGTATGTTTCAAACGGGCTCCTTGTACTTTCAAATCTGGGAAACTCTCCAAAATGTCCCTAAGAAGCTCGTAATGTGACAGATGAAATGTTGTATTAATACCGGTTATGATATTAGAGAAACTGAATATTGAGTCGAGAGAACGAGAGACTTGTAAAAATAAAATGTAATTTCGAGGTTATGAGTTCGGAGAGTCAAAATCTTTACATTACGGGCACTTCAATCTTTTTTGAATGACTTTCCACAAACGTCTGTTTCACTTTGACTGCAGGAAAAGAATCCGATTGAAACCTGTTAAAGAAGTTTTGTCTGTTCATGAAGAGTTTCCCAAAAACTTCCATAAAAAAGATCTATTAAAAAAAAAAAAAAATCTCAAATTGATTCCACCTTTTATTTTAGAACGAGGATGACCGTGTTTCAGGAAGTAGTGTGATGAAACATTACGCAAGCAGTCAAAAAATGAGATGAAACTCAAGTGAGCAGGAAATGCTTTGATTTATTTTGGATTCATGAGAACAGTTGCAGACAGCTATGGATAAAGCTGAAACTGATTAATTAGTATAACTTTATCACATATTTTCCTCAATAATGCTGTCCTAAAATCAAATTGACAAATAGTGATTTGTAAGATTCAAATGTTAAATTTGAAACTTGCTGCATTTGTTTGGAATAACTTCCTGTATTTGTTCATATTGCAGAAAGATATTTATATGGCGCTGTCACAGCCCTCGCACACATTACTGTTTCCTCTCGTCGAACATACTCCTCTGCAGGGTGAGCTGAGTCGATAATACAGAAGCAGAGGTTTGAGCTTTGCAGATGGACGACGTGAGACGACTCAACTCTTTGCTAATTTGAGGCCAAAGCCGGCTCATTTTCTGTCAGCTGATTTACAGCTGGCTGTTTACAATCAGTTTCATGGTGGACATGCAGGTCTGGTGATTTAAGGATGCCCTCTGTCATCATCATGAGGAAGATTTATTTATTGAAAGGTCAGAGGTCAAGCTAACCTGTTCTAGTAACTTTTGTTTTGTTTTAGGATGCCTGAAAGAAAAGTCTGAAGGTCCCCTAAACTGCTGATTGAAGTTTGACTTTATGTTTGAGAATGAAACTGAAGTTTAACCTTGAAAACATTCAGACAAATTATTGTTGATCGAGTTTGGATATATGAATGACTCCCAAAAAACTCACGCCTCTATCGTACTGTTTAAATTAGATCCTGTGTAGTCTTTGAACAACAGCAACATTTCCCGAATAGTTCTAAATCGATTTGACTGAAAAAGCTTCTTTTGATATTAATAATTATAACTCTGTATAATTATTTATCAATTAAACTAACTTAACTGTATTAAATCTTGTATCTTAATATATAGTAATGCACTCAAGAGCAGCCTTTGAGGTAGGCCAGGCTGATGGTTTCGCAAGACTTCATTTCCCACAATTCCAAGCGAGGAGCGCTGCGGTGGTGCCTTCTAGTGCTACTTCGCTTTTCCCATCTCCCGAGTTGATGAGTCTTCTGATTTGTATGAACGTCAAATCATAACTTTGACAAACATGGATGCTCAAACGGTATATATGTTTATCTCTCAATTCTCATCACGATATCGGTGGTGAGTAACAATTTTTACGATGTACTTCCAGGTTATATACATTTTAAATTATGCGAAAATGACTACAATATGTGAGTTGAAATAAATGTTTTAACCAATAAGCGAACGTTAGCTGTAAGCTGCCATGTTTCCAAGTAATATCTTATCAACTTGGGTCATCGAGTTACAAAAATTCTCCGACTTTCCGCGATGTTTCTCCAACAGCGCGAGTTTTTCCAATGCAACGCTCATTTTTCCCATTATTCCGACAGCACATGAATGCAGCCCGAGAAACGCTTCGGTCGTTGGGTCGTCTCGTTCAATAAACCCGGAAGTGTCGATAGAACCGACTCACGCTGCTGTTTGTACCTCAGGACAGCAACTTTGGTGAGCTCAAGCTGTGAATGAAAACCACTGTTGACATTAGAGATGAAGTACAGTGGAAATATAGCTGTCGTTGGCATTAGCATTAGCATGGCCCCCTTGTCATCTTAACTGTGTAGCGCATATTAAACTCATAGTTTTTAACATCAAGCTAATTTGATCACGTATGCTCATTTCTAAGTGAACAATGTCATTATAAACATAGTCGACAATCCAATTTGGCGTCAGGAAATTTGCTAAAGAAGTACTAAATGCTGCATCACGTCCTATTTACCTCTGAGTTTCACTGGATATGAAAAAGACGGAAATAAATACAGTGATACTACAAATACAGACATTACAATGCAACACAAATAAGAAACTAAAGTAAGAACAAACAGTAAAGTAAGGATTTAAAATGGAAACACCAACACAGTCAGTGCTCAAAGATTACTTCATTTTCAGCCATTATTTTACTCGTGTCTGAAAAACCTTGAACTCTGTCATTTCTTTTAAGTTCAGATGGTGGTGTGTTCCTCAGGTGTGTTCCTCAGGTGTGTTCCTCAGGTGTGTTCCTTTATTCTATCCCTCAGAATAACAAAGAAAACAAAATACAGATCTGTATTTTGAGAGAGGAGGAGCAGGGTGAATTTAGGGATGTTTTCATTTCTGTGTATTTTGCAAATGTCCTCCCTTAAAGACAGTCCTCCTTATGTAATATTTTTCTGTTTCATCTGAGCGTTGTTGTGTGTGTGTGTGTGTGTGTGTGTGTGTGTGTGTGTGTGTGTGTGTGTGTGTGTATTTGTGTGTCAGTACTCCTCCCTGTTGACCGCTGGCATTGTGCTTAGGAGACCGGATGTGTAGACGCCGGGACTTAACTTAATGCTGGCACATCAAATCGTTCACAATCCCTTTAGTGAGAGCTTACAGAGGACACATCAAGGTCACACTGAGGCGGGCTTTAAGCCCTTTTTGGTGGTTTTTATTCATTATGTATCTTAAAGTGGAATATGCTCACAAAACCAGATTATGGACCAAAGAAAAACGTGGTTGCAGTTGTTTAACTATAAAATCCTGCTCACTACCTGTTATTATTTTTAAAAGATGAAACTTTTGCAAATGTCATGTCTTCAGCGAGTCCTTCCTCATCTTAACAGGAACCTGAATACATTAAAGAAAACAGAAAATTGAAACTCATCAACTTCTCCGTTAATTATTAGATTTATAGAAGTAAAGCTGTTACCTAGTGTTGTAGTCAAGACCGCACTAACCGAGACCAAGACATTGAGAGATCAAGACCGACTAAGACCATAAATATCAATGAAAAATCATCAACGGATTTCAATGTTATAATGTTGCTCACTGTCAGTTCTGCTTCTTTGCAGATCGCTCAAGTTGAGATAGGAGGGTGATTGTCGTCCATGGAGCGAGTGATGGGAGGAGGAGGAGTGCTTCAGCTGGTTTTAGCCGGTGCGGGGGTCTGGCTGCTTTACAGGATCCTGCTGCGCCTCAGACCAGGAGCTGCTCTGCAGGATGCCGTGGTGGTCATCACCGGCGCCAGCTCGGGACTGGGGAAAGGTTGGCCTGCTGCTCGTTTCTTTCTTCTCTTAAGCGCACAAATCAGGCTCCTACATTTCTGACCTCCTTTCTGTTGCAGAGTGCGCGCGGGTCTTCCACGCTGCAGGAGCCCGACTGGTTCTGTGTGGACGAGACGCAGCTCGTCTGCAGCAGGTGGTCGAGGAGCTCACTGCGGGCTCGGCAGGTTCACAGGTGTGTACGCTCACTGCCGAGGGTCTGAGACATTTTGTTCTCTGGGTCACCTAAAAGTGACTCGAGGTCGTTTCCTGCCGGAGGTTGGCCTGCTTTTAAAATTTTACTGTAATTATTATTATTATTATTATAATTGTTCTATTTGTTTAACTCTTTTAATTTTTATACTTTTATTTATTTTTAATTTAAATTAATTTCATTTAAATTATTTTTATTTGAACATATTTTCAGATTTAATAATTCCAGTGATTTTTAAATGTTCTATTTTACTGTTTCTTTTCTTTCCTCTGTCATGATGCGTTTGATGTCTTGTGTGAAGCACTTTGAATTGCCTTGTTGTTGAAATGTGCGACATAAATAAACTTGCCGTGCAGTCATAGAAGTATTAAAACAGTTTGATTGTAGATGAAATCAGATGGTTTTGAACGTCAGTGAAGTATAAAAGAAGTTCTGCTCCGTTCAAATCCTCAGACTCACACTCCCCGCACCGTGACCTTCGACCTGGCTGACGCTGACTCGGTGGACGGCGCTGCAGAGGAGATCCTGAAATGTTACGGACATGTGGATGTTCTCATTAATAATGCTGGAATCAGTTACCGTGGCAACATACTGGATACTCACACTTCAGTTCATCGGGATGTGATGGAGACTAACTACTTCGGGCCGGTCGCTCTGACTCAAGGTTAGCGAGGAGGAGGACACTAATGATCTGAGGAGAACTTCTTTAATAATGATCTCTAATGATTTCATGCACAGGTGACAAAATGTTTCAAATATGAACTCTCCTCTTCCCTCACAGCTCTCCTGCCCTCGATGGTTCGCCGGCGAAGTGGCCACATCGTGGTCATCAGCAGTGTCCAGGGAAAGATTTCCATCCCTTACAGATCAGCCTGTACGTTTCCTGTTCTCCTTCAATGAAAGCAAACTTTTTTGTTATCCTTTTGTTTGATGAAGATGACGCAGTTTGTTCTCTTTGTGGTCAGATGCGGCCTCTAAACACGCCACCCAGGCGTACTTCGACTGCTTACGGGCAGAAATGGAGCGCTACGGGATCCCGGTGAGCGTCATCAGTCCGGGTTACATCAGAACCAACCTGTCAGTCAACGCCGTCACAGGAGATGGATCCAAATACGGAGGTGAGGCAGGAGATTTGTTGACAACAATCAGCTCAAACCAACAAATCACTGACAGAACTCACTGTGCAGTTTGTAGAATATCAACAATCAAAGATGGAGGCCGGGTCAGTTTGTGAAAAATGTTCAGATTGGTCATTAAGGGAAAATGTGCTGCAGTTTTCAGTCTCAGCTGACCCTCTGACTTCCTGCTGTTATTAATGATGCTCGTTTTCCTGTTTGTTGTTTTCAGTTCTGGATAAAACCACAGCGTCGGGTCGCGACCCCGGAGACGTGGCTCAGGCCGTTCTGAAGGCCGTCCGTCAGAGGAGCAAAGACGTCGTCCTGGCTGGACCTCTGCCTCATGTGGCCATCTACCTTCGCACGCTTTGGCCTGCGCTGTTCTTCAAACTCATGTCCTCACGCGCTCGCAAGGAGCACAAACCCAAAGACGAGTGAAGCAGCAGCTCAGGAACGAGAGGAAAACAGAGAGGACAGAAAGTGAAGCTTTACACAGAGGTCACATGGAAGAGAGGGGTGAATAGATCTGCAGAGAAGGGTCGTCTAAATCTAATATTTTGGCTCTTTTTGGTAGTCTTCCCCGCTGGCTGCCTTTTGCTTAAAGGTCGCATATTATCCAAAATCACTTTACTATGTTTCTCTAACATGTGTCTCTAGTCCGTCTATAAACCCCCCAATGATGAGAAAAGTCCATCCTCTCTGTGTGCTCAAACAGGGCGTTTGGAGATTTTCCCTTGATGACATCACAAAGGGCAGTAGCCCCTCCCCCAGGTGGGTGACACTCCCACAGCTAGGTGTTTGTTCTGCCCTCTGAGTCTGCTTTCTCACCGTAAACAATAGGACATGGAGCGAGAAAGCACCGAGTACACCCAAGTCCTTCCAGAGAGGGGGCGTGGTCAGACACAGCTCATTTAAAGGTACAGACACAGAAACAGCCTGTTCTGAGCAGGGCTGAAATAGAGGGGTTTATAGACATGATCAAATACAGGATCAGAGTGGATTTAGAACAAGAAACTTCACACACGTTTTGAGGAGCTCTGAGACTTATTTACACTGAAGAGGAGGAGAATATATGACCTTTAATTTCTGTTTGTTGGTGATTCCATCCTGATAATAATCCTCTGCTGACACCCTTAACTGTTTCACCTCCAGGCTCGACACACTCGATGTTAAAGTTTGTATTGAAACTGGTTTCTCACAACAAACACAACAAACTGCAGATTTTTTATAACCTTCTTTATACACAGAATAAAAACAACTCTTACAAACTGAAAACTTTCGACAGAGCTTCTCCTTTTTAGACGTCATCTTAATTTAGAGTTAAACAAACACTTTCTGAAATGTTAGCAATAAATAGTCCAAATAACAATTTACATTATGTTACAAAAAGCGCAGAGAATACTGGAATTTGTACAAATAAATCCTTCAACAGAAAATAAAGACAATACCTGCTGTTTACTCTCGGTAAGAAACATCTTCGTTGTTTGTTTTCTAGTGTGAGAAGATGAAATGTTTCAGATTTTCAAGGTGCTTCGAGCAGAGGGACGTTTGAAATCTTTTTTTTTTAGTGGAGAGACGAGCGGAGCTCTTGAAACCGTTTACACTCGGAGAGGAAGGCAGACGCATCGAACGTTCACAATACTGCATGAATACACAAGCCCTAAACTGCATCCGAGCTTTGAAACACATTCATGTTGCTATGGTAACGAGGAAATGATCTTGACTCATTTCTCTCCTTCAGTTTCTCGTCATCTCGGGACAACAACGCTGGTGTGACCTTTAGAATAACAAGTTTATATCTCTAGTAGTGTTAGAGTCGAGACCACACTGACTGAGACCAAGACACACCAAGACCAAGAGTGCTCCAAGACCAAGACCATAAATATAAATATTTTGTTTAGGGGGCGTGTCACTCACTCAGACTGTAATACAGAGAAGGTTGCGGCTGTAACCGGGGGATAAAAATGAAACTACAAACGAATTAAAGTTATTTGTTCTTTAATAAAGAAGCGTTTTCCTTCTAATCTCAGTCTCGGTCTTGATTTAATATCTGAAGTCTGCCCAGTCCTAGACCGGGACAAGACCGAGTCAAAATGCTTTCGATTCAGAGACAAGACTGAGACCTTTAAAAAGTGGTATCGAGACAAAAACCGATGTTGACAGGACAGTGGATAAGAGTCAGAAACCGGGGAGAAGGAGAGTGGGGAACGACATGCAGGAACGGAGCCACAAGGCAGACCAGAACCCTGGGCCGCCGGCTCTCGAGGACCAGCCTCCGCACATGAGGCGCGTGCACCGACTGCCAGGACACCGACCGCTGATAATGAGATACATAAGTCGAGGTCATGAGAGAACATTGTGATTTCCTCATTATCACAGATAAATGCATTTAAATAACAGGATTGATGTCAGTTTGGGGCTTCTGCACATAAAGAGAACACGTTTAACATGTGGAAACCTCGAGGAGCTTCAAGAGAAATAACTTTAAATTCTTCTTTTACTGAAGACAGAAGCCAACCACCTTCACATCAGCTGGAGTTTTCTTTGAACTGACCAGGAATCTTCTGAAGGTTTTTCCTTCTGATAAACAGAATCATTATAAAGCTAAAAAACAGAGTGGAGCGCCGAGCGCGGCTTTAGTGTTTGAGCTCATTCTCAGGGAGTTTAAACGCCGTGTAGCACGACCGGGAATCTTCAGAGGCAACCAGGACCGTTTAAAGATCAGTTGCATAAGAAAAATGAAAACATGGTCCTCACATTGTGGGATCAAAGTGTGAAAGATGTCAAAGTGAATAATCGTCCTCTAAGAGTTTAAAATCCAAGAGGCTTAATGAATGACTGTGTTGTACTTTGATCACAGATTTAAAGTTGTGTAGCTGCAGATGATCGCGTCCGTAGATCCAACATAAAGCTGCCGTATCGCGAGTCATCCTAACAAACGACAAACTTGATTCCAGGCGTTTTTCTTCTCAAATGAAGCTGATAAAAACCTGAACTGACTGAGCGCACGCATTGAAATGAAAGGCAGTGTCATTTATATTCCACCTGGCCGGCCGCGCTATATCCGACTTTCTGCGTCTCACCACGTTACGTCTCTGAGGATCAGCCTCCAGCTGGGATCTGAACTGCACATTTTGGCGGATTTACACATTTTGCGGGTAGATTTGATGAAGTAGAACACACACACACACACACACACACACACACACACACACACACACACACACACACACACACACACACACACACACACACACACACACACACACACACACACACACACACACACACACACACACACACACACACACACACACACACACACACACACACACACACACACACACACACAGAGAGCAGGACATACGAGATCAGTGAAAACATTTTGTTCAGATATGGCATAGTATTTCCTTAACATGAGGTTGTGTTTTGTAAACGCAGTTATTTTTCTAAAGTGTTTTGAAGTCTTTTAAAGGGCGTCTCACCTTGGAGAAACAGTTCACAGAAACAAACTTGTTTCAAACTCTCCTTGAACGATTATCAAGGTTCAACATTATTATTGCACTTTAACAAACGGGGCAGGGATGGCTTTAGGGGGGCTTTGAGTTCCTCCACAGTCCTCCTCTCTCTGGGGGAAGGAGGCACAGCGTGGGGCAGACCTCTCCTCGGGTCAATCAGCCGGGTCGTCTCCTCCTCAGGGCGGGGGGAGGGAGGGCTCCGTCACAGCCAGCTCCTGAGCCAGGTCGTTGAAGCGGGCGATGTAGTCGACGCTGCTCTCACTCATCATACAGGCAAGCTGAGAGTCCATCTGCAAGAGCGAACAACGAGCTTTCAGCGCACAGTTAAGTGCTACATTTGGGGAATATGGTTATCTGATTTCTGATGTGGCGATAGAGAAGAAAACCTCTCATCTCGTTCCATCAAAGAAAAGCCAAAGGGAAAATACTAGAAACAGAAAGTGATCAACCAACGACTTAGAAAACAACAACTTTACATTTCAGTTTAACAGATTAATTTAGATTCTTAATTGGTGAGCCAGTATCTGTCATCTTATGACAAAGCAATGCTTTTCCTCCTGTGTTGCATCTTAAAGTAGCAGTATGTAACTCTGACACCTAGTGTTTAAAATGGGTACTGCAGTCCAAATTCTAAACATTAGAGAGCTGTCTACCCCCGCCGCATCTCCAATATTGTTTGAGCACGTTTCTGCTCGTGGAGCTTATTAGAAACATGCAGAGGCTTTTTAGGTCGGGTACAATCACTTCTATCTGAACCACTTCTCTTGCCCGCTTCCATCACTGCAACAACCTGTTGACCTGATAACTGCTCTCATATCTGGCAAACCGAGGGGCGTCCAAAACGGCATTGTGGGGGGTGCCTTAAAACCTCCTACCTTCACTGGTCCAAACAAATCCAGAGCATTCAGGACCAGAATCTAAAGTTAGAAGGAGGACATACTGGCTGCTGCATTGTTGTCAGAGAAGCCAGCACTTCAACATGTTTCCTTAATGTCTGATCATATAGTAAGATCACTTTATCATTTCACTCACTACACAGCTCACTGATTGATCCTTAATACAAAGCTGAGCTCACAGGCCATTGGCTGTAGTTTCATATACAAACATGAGAGACATATTGATCTTGTCATAGAACTTTAAATCAGAAATAAAGAGCAAATACTTATAATTCACAAAACTATTCCTGCAGTGTGCAACAAAGAATAGGAAATTCATCCACCATACGCCTCAATCATTTAGAGAAGACTCAACTTACTTCTGCCACATCAGGAAGGCCACGGGACTGAAAGGAATCATGGGAGTTGCAGTCCAGAAGGCTAGGACCGAGCAGAGCCGTGCCACTGGAGGGGCCAGAGGGGGTGAGGGTGGTCCGCCTGCTCTTATCAGGGGAGACCATGCTGGCTGGAAGGAAAAGAGACAGAGAGACGGTGAGAGGACAAAAGAACATGTGAAAACAAGTAGGACACTGCAGGAGGAGGTGTGCAGCTGTGTCATCTTAGATTGATTTGAATAAAGATGTAAAGGCACAGAGAGTAGGGGTTTTACAGATGTACAGAGATGAAGTAAATAACTCATGAATGTTTATTTAGGGGAAAAAGACCCACAGAGGAGGCAGCCCAGCGTGGAGTCGGAGGAGTCGCTGGGGTACCACTGGGGGTCGTGGCTTGGCGAGGGGATCCAGCCTCTGGACGGGCTGACCGAGGGAGACGAGGACAGAAGTTTGGAGCCGTCGTTGTTGCTCAGCTTGGCCGGAGAGAGCGCAGCCTCCTCACCTGCACCCGAACATGCAGACAGCCATTAGTTAACATTTATCCTGCACAAGTCGTCTCACAAGTTTTTTCTAAGAATGCTTCACATATTTTAAAAGCGTCCTTCGAGCAGCACAGCCGCTCATCAATCAATCAATTTTTATTTGTATAGCGTCAACTCATAACTCATAAGTGTTATCGCGAGACACTTTACAAAAAGCAGGTAAAATACTTTACTCTTTGTCTGTTAACATTACAAAAAGCAGGTAAAAGACCTTACTTATTGCTATATTACAAAGATCCGGCCTATCCATCATGAGCACTTTAGCAAAGCAGCAAAAGTTACAGTGGTAAGAAAAAAAGAGAAATGAGAGAAAGAAACCATCGCCTTTATAAACACACAGCGCTCAGTGTAAATGTCTTTACAGAATTCTTCAAGTTTCCAGATAGAAAGTGAGAGAGAAACAAACCGTAGTGAGCAGAGTTGATGGCGAGCTCGATAATCGAGTCACTGATGTGTGTCTGAGGTCCCCCCGGGGCCAGAGCCTCCTCAGGGGGCCCCGGGAGCGAGATGTCGAGGAGGGAGGCGACGCTCGGCGGAGAGAGGAGAGAGTCCCCACCTCCAGTCACTCCAGGAGACGGAGGAGGAACACCGTTCTGTGGAAGGTGAACACACATGGGGCAGGTTTGTTAATTCTTCAAAAATATATTTTAAGAGCGGCATGTTAGCCTGACCCCGACTGCACAACGACAACACAGACTGTACGAGCAAAGAGGGTGAAGCAAGTGAAATGTCAGAATGAAAGGAATCTGTAAAAATACAAAAAAGTGTTAAAGCATGAGAGAGAGATAACGTGATGAGCTTCTCTCTTGATGTCTGTCTTTACATAGGAGACATTTGTGTTTCTATGTTTAGTGGCTGACCTCGGGGACGCCGTGCTCGGGGAGTTGAGAGTCTGGTTCAGCTTCAGTGATGGGCGTGGAGGGGAGCAGGTCGCCGTCGTCAACAGAGGGAGAGTCCGGCTCCCGGCGGGGACTGGCGGGGATGATTCCTGCAGACTTGGCTGCAAGGTCAATGGCACCTGAGAGAGAATTTAACATGCAAAATGAAGCAACAACATAAACCAATCACTAAACTTGAAGAGATTAACATAAATTTCAGCTTTGGAAATGTAAGCGGTGAAATGTATTTGGGGATAGTAAATCAAGAGCAGTGCATACTGGAGAGCTGGCTGGCTGCTGCGGAGCCGGTCACAGCAGAGGAAGTTTTAGACGGGAGGGGGCGAGTGGGAGGAGCCAGGCGAGTGTGGATCGGCCGGAAGGATCCAGTTCCTGAGGGAAGAAACAGGAAGAGAGATTAGAGGGGCTGTTGTTGAAAAACAGAAATAACATTTAGTCAGCAGATCAGCGGGGAATCCACAACGTTAAAAACAGAAGTTTGACGTAATTTAAGTTTTATAATAATTTCTGCTGAATCCTTTTTATGTCGAGTAATCGTAATTTCTGAGGAGTACCTGTGGCTGAGGAGTTGGAGAGGATGGAGAAGGAACAGACGTGTTGAGGAGTATCTCCTGTAGTCCGGGGTAGGAGTGTTCTCTGAGGACGAGACAAGAAGCAACAGTTTATCTTTAAGCTTGTTGTGGTTTACCAACACAGCCAAGGGATACACTATAAAAACATTTACAGTTTTATTAACATTCACACCACAGAATAGATTCATTGTAACAACCCTCTTCTTCTCTTACTTGAACTACGAGCGGTTTCCGGAGTTGTCTGTTTCTAGGTTTTTTTTGTCTGGAGAGGAAAAGATCTGACTGCATCTGCAAAAAGAAAAAAAAAGAGCAAATGAACATTTGTGTAAATTCTGGTGGACAATAAAGAAATATAGTCTTAGTCATGGTGAAAACAAAAATGGACGCTCTGTCGTACACTGATGGAGTCGAGCTGCTGTCTGAAGGCGAGCTCAGCCTCCTTGTTGGGGGAAAACATTCGGTTGTGCCGTGAGCTGTTGGGCGGCAGCGTGGTGGGGACTGCGAACACACCGCCCTCAGAGTCACTTCCCGCTGTCGAGCCCAGCAGAGAGCGAGGGAGGCAGCGTCCACCTGAATGGCAGAGAAACAAGAAAGACATGATTGTGAATTCAAAAATAATTTGTCGTATACGGTTTCTGGAAAAAAAAGCGGTTTAACCCGGCAGCTTCAGATTTTATAGTGAAGCACATTTAGAGATACCTGATGCTGCGGCGTTGGGCAGGTGTAGCCGCGCCCCTCGGACAGACGCCTGCTGTCGCCCACAGTTGGGGCTGCGGACCCCGGCTATGGGACCCTTCCCTGGAGGCGTGAGGGCCTGGTTCTGCTCCTCCAGAGGGGTCTTCAGAGGGGACGTGGCTGTGGAGCAGAGCTCTGGAGCCTGGTGGAGAGGAGGATGTTTTATTGAGACAACCAGCTTTAAAGGAACACTTCTTTAGAAAACTTTAGGACAAGCTAATTTAATGCTCTGTGTGATCGTGCATGAACAAAAAGACACTAATTATTTCCTCCTGTCAAGAACATTCAATTAGGAATGTTGGTCTGTTTTCAAATTGGCAAACGATTGCCTTTCCATGTGTGGAACTTCAGAACTCGTAAACAAAGGCTGACACAGTATTAAATATCACCCATTAAAGTTACAATCGTGACATTTCCTTGAGTTAAACCTTCATCTATCTGTGAGGAATTTCTTGTGAATGCATGTTGCACACTTTACTCCTGTTGTGACATTTTAACAACTATTTTAAACCAGAATAATTTTTAAGTTGCAGGATATTCAAATGAGTAAATCTGAGAGGTGACAGTTGATCCCTACCAAAGGCTTAGGGTTGACCTCAGTAGAAACCAGTTTGAGCAGGCAGCGCAGAACCCGGTTTGTCCGATGTGGTCTGGGCTGTGCCGAGGTCTGCCCGTCCTCCTGGTTGTTTGCATGGACGAGAGCCGGCTGCCACTCGTACTCCAGCTGCAGCTTCCCAGGCTTCCCCAACATCAAGTAGAGCTCAGCCAGGGTGACGTTCTCTGCATCGCGGGCGCTCCAGCCCTCTTCTCTGATCTGCTCCACGGCCCGTTCCTTGGCGAGGGGTGCAGAGCTCTGTGACATCCCCTCCTCTAAACCTCCACTTGTGGGAGGTTTGGCCGGAGGAGTCTGGTTGGCCTCTGGGGAGGACGACGTGCTGATGTTCTGCTCCTCTGTGCACTGATCTGATGAAACCTCTGCACCACTACATAAATTCTTCATGCTCTTTGCTGTGGTTAAACTCCCACTGGACTCCACATCAGTACATGTCCGTCCCCCTTCAAAGGCCCCTAAACCGGTGCCCTCTTCACTGGGAGCCACTGTGGGCTGAGAGGTAGCAGGGAGAGAAACAGACGGGGGTCGCTTCTCCTCTACTTTTGGAGAACTGTCTTGAGAAGGCTCAGAGTTAAGAGGCTCAGGACGCCGACTTTCACCTAACACAGTCCCTGGAGCTCCACTAGGAGCAGAGGCACCAGGGCCTCCTCGTCCAGCTTTGGTGCCAGTCCGAATACCCAGAATCTGAACAGCTGGCAGTTCCTTGGCATTTGGTCGGTTCTTGCCGCTCTCCAGCCAGTGCACAGTGCAGGACGCCTTGGAGTGAACCACACGAGCCACTCCGGGCAGCGTGGTCAAAGTGCTGCTCTCAGCGGGGAAAAGAAAGAGCTCCTCCTGCTGGGATTTACTGGGAGACGTCGTGCTGGACGGGCCGCCTCCAGGGCCTCTCTCTCCATGAGACTCTTCAGCTGAAACCTCTGAGTCAAGGAGCCAAACAGAACTGAGAGAAAGACGCCACGCCCCCTTTGTGTGAACAGATAAAGTGCAAGCACACAATACCAGCATCTTAAACTTCAGTATGATTCTAGTAAAAATCAAACGATGTCAATACCTCCTTCAGCATCAAAACAGAAGTCCTAGACCTCCCATGTTGGATTATTTCTAGTCCTATTTATTAAAAAATGCAGCGCTCTCAGTTTGGGTTTAAATACGAAAAATGCAATTCAAGCTTGTTTTTTTCAATACGATCTTTCATTAAGATAACAGAGATTGTGATGTCTTAAAACAAGCGGTATCAAAAAGTATCAAAGTCTTTAAAATGTTGACAACGTTGCACAATGCTCAAATTCTCAAACACAGCTGATAAAAAATGTTGTTTGCTGAAGTAATCTGACAACACATCCTATCCAACGACTTTGCATGAAAGACTCTCACAATCTGTGCAAACCGTTTGTTTGAAGGATACAATCCGCTGGTCGTGGTACGCCCACTTCTGCTTCAGATACTCGATGAGACTCGAGACTTTCCTGTGGAGCTCCACCACCATCCTGGATCAGAAAAAGGGACAGAAACAAGCGGATATTCATTTACAAGACACGCCAGGGTTATTTTATTTTTTAACATACACTACATCTCAAGGTCTCACACTGAAGGAATGATCCATCAGTCTGGTGTTTTATGTGTTGAGCCATCAACTATAAATATGATTTACGTGTGTATTTGGGATTTCTGAGGACAATCTTCAAATCTTTTCAACGGTAATTAGATCAGATTTGTTTATTTGCTGGACGAGTACATTTCAGTCGCTATCACGGTAAATCAAGCGTTGATATCCCGGGGTTCATAAGTCGAGATCTCGAGGACTGAAATGATTCATTAATAATGTAAAACAGAGTTAAATAAAACGTACAGATGTGTGTCCTCTTCGGGCTTCTGTACAGGACATCAAGATTGTGACAAAACCAGAGTTTAGTTATGACGAGTGTGAAGTTTTTGTACAACTGAAAGACCTTGAAGTAAATCTGGCAGAGCGGCACAGTCTCCTCTTATAAGATGAGATAACAAAAGATATACTTTATTCATCCCAGCAGGGAAATGTAGGTGTTCCAGCAGCCAGCATACATACAAACACACAACACAACACATAAATACATACATATCCCACCCATACAAAAAAAACATGAGCCCACAATACATAGCCAGGATAAAAAAGTGGTATGGATGGTCCATGTGCATAAGTAGCTGTTACTCATAGATAACAGTACAAAATACTAGCTCTGCCAGTGCATAGTATGATAGATAAATAAAGAATTATTATAAAAAAGCAGTCAAGTGTGCAAATATACAGGTGCAAAATACAGTTTGATATATGCAGCTCAGGCTAAAGTTTAAAAGTTTAAATGTCTTCTGTCCTTACTTAAAGGGGAGTCGTTATAAAGTGCAATTGCAGTAGGTAAAAAAGTATTTTTAAATCTGTCCTTTTTGCAGCTTAGCTGCCGTAGCCTCCCAATAAAAACACTCTTTTGTTCACACACGAGATTGTGTAATGGATGCATGTTATTGTCCATGATGTTCAACAGTTTCTGTATCATCCATCTCCCCATCACCACCTCCAGGGGCTCCACAGCAGTCCCCAGCACAGAGCCAGCCCTCCTAATCAGCTTGTTAAGCTTTTTAGAGTCACAAGCCCTGATGCTGCTGCCCCAACAGACGGCTGCAAAGAAAATGGCACTTGCCACAACAGTCTGATAAAACATGGATAACATTTTGCTACACACATTAAAAGACCTAAGCTTCCTCAAGAAGTAGAGTCTGCTCTGACCCTTCTTGTAGACAGAAGTCTACACATGATCATCTGTTCTTATGTCGATATAAACTACAAGCTGCAGGAAAGACAAGTCGTGTGTGACTTTGTACATAAAACACAATCAAGCTTATGTTGAAGTCTTGTGTCCCTTCAGCCCCGATAGGCATGATGTTTTATTTGAACTACTCTGAGATGTATACTTTCAAAGTCGGGGGGTTCATTGGGTTCAAAGAAAAGCGAAAAGAATTAAGTGAAGAATTGACGTGTGTGAACTTCAAACACATGACATGTGTCAGAGACTTTGATGACACTAAGCTTTCTCCACAGTTTGAGCTTTTATCAGGGCTACAAAAATTAAATAACTAACTTGGTGAAACAAGAAAGTGGACAAGAAGCTGCTCACTGATTTTCCTGCAGGGCTGCAGTGGATCGAAATGTTTACAGCTTGTGACAAAGACATGTTGGTCTGTCACGGCTTTAGAGAAATGTTGAAACAGTAATGAAGTCCTCCCAGACTGCAGTGAACATAAATGTCTGACCTGAGGCGAGGGTTGTGTGCGAGGCTCTGAACTCGGGCCCAGGAGCGGTTGCTGCGTGGCTGGAGCTCCACGGCCACTTTCAGGGGGAGACGCACCGGCTTCTGGTCCTCCTCGTCACTCACTCCTGCAGGGACACACGGACACAGTGAGCACAAACATCATTTGCTATCTTTGATGCTCCAACCAAATCCAGCAGTAATGAAAGGCGTTATATGATTTCTGTCTTTGGTTGAATAATGTTTCTGTACTTTGCTGTTTTTTTTGAGGTAAGATGGCAGCCGGTCGGACAACTCATCCTCCATCCTCCTCCTCCTCCTCACTCTGCTACAACACAGTAACCATGGTAACGCCACTAGCCCACATGCTGCCATTGTTATAGCCAAAACCCCGCCCACACAAACCCTGGTTCCTCATCAAAGCCACTGTGTGTGTGTTTTTTTTTGTATTATTTTATATTCTCAGTGTTGATGTATTGATGTTTGTTTACTTTGTGCAGTCTGTGTGGGACATGTTGCACAGGCTCACCATCTGGGTCACAAAGTTTCTTCAGCGCGCGGCACATCGGCGCCTTGATCCGCAGGTTCCTCCCCTTGGAGCGTACGGTGGTGGCCCTGAGCAGACAGACACGACAGCAGTGACATATTTAACGTTCATCTTTAAAGTTCTTTAAGGATTCAGAACCAATAAAAATAACACAGGAAGTAGAAAAAATGACACTGAAACTTTTTCACTACTTTTGCCCGAGGTCGTCTCGGACTCTCTAGGACTTTGCATGTTTTATATTTATTTCATAAGAAGGGGCTCAGGAGAGGAATGGGTCCTCTAAATTTGAAAGTCAACTCCTGCACTCTGTCGAAAATGTACAAAAACGATGACAACATTTCGGTACTGACAGGTTCCAACATTTTTGTGCATTTTAGACAGAGTGCAGAAGTTTTCTTTGAATTTTAGATAACTGAAAACAACCCTTTTTTTAACGGTATCGTATCAAATGTTAAAATTCTAGCATCCAGACAACCTTTCTTTTGTCTTCCACTTGTAAGTATTGTACCTGTCTGGTCCAGCTGCTTGTGGATTGTTCTAGTATCAGACAATTATAATCGTGAAGTCACAGCGATTCAGTCTCTCATAAAGCTCTCAAGTACTTCAAATCAAAAACAACCTCCTTGACAAACTCAGATGTTTGAATGTAAGCACCTTTTTGTGTGTTTCTAAAATAAGAAACCTAAAATCTGTGCGGGTGTGAGGTGCGTTTTCCAGGTTGAACTTCTTCTTACCCTTGCTGAATGAGTTCGTTGAGCTTGGCCACGTTCTTATCATCCATTACTGTCAGAGACAAAAAGAAAAAGCAGAGAGACGTTTAGAGCATGGTCCCTCAGGAGCAGCTGTCCCCTCATGACCGGGGAACACACACCGACTTTAATCACATCCCTCGTGTCCCAAACTACCAGCAGGAAAACACGCACAGTGAAAAACAAATGCACGGCTTTCACTTACATCCTCCAACTTTTTTGCGGAGCTCGGCGTAGCAGATGAGGCCGTAGAGTTCTTGGGAGGATTTCTTCAGAGCTCTGGAGTACACTGAGGAGGAAGGAGGTCGAGAAAGTCACAACACGATGAGGCTGAATGTTCAGGAGAGAGGCAAACAAGGACTACATCTCTCAGCTGATCAAAGGGTGGGAACAGTAAAACAATATTTTGATTCTCCCGATTGAAACAAATTTGATTATGGAAGTTTTTTTTTTCTTGCATTTCAAAACAAATTGCCAAGCCTCTCCTCCTCTAGAATGAATGCTGTTCTTTGCTTCTCGTGTGACGAGGTTAAAGGGCGTCTCACCGCTGGAGAAGTCGATGTGTTTGGAGATCTTGTGCCAGGTGCGGTAGTAGAAGTGTCGGACCTGCTCCTTGTTCTTCACCATGTTGGCCGGTTTGCCTCTTTTCTTGTACTTCATCGCGATGTTGTTCTGGATGGCCTCAAAATCCTTCCCGTGCTGCAGAAGAAGTAGCCAAAAGAAACGTTAAGAAGATATTTAAAAGATTGTTTTAAGAAACAAATTAAAGCCAACACTTTTACACGTATCGATCTGGATACTCTCTGTACCTCGTAGAGACCCTCAAAAAAGCTGTTTTTGTCCTCAGCGCTCCAGGACTCCCACTGACGACGGGCTCTCTTCTGGTTTCCAGATTGTTCCTCCTTCTCAGCCGACCCCTGGCCCTTCAATGTCTTGGACACTCCTCCTGTGGAGCCGACCACCGGCCCCGACTGTCCAAGCGTCCCCTGAGAGGAGGAGCCGTTCTCTGCTCCTGTGTTGCACAGACAGAGAGAGCGAGAGCACAAACAGCTTCAGTATCAGGGTAAAAATTATTTCTCTTTACTGCTCTGGGTGATTTGTTTAACATGGAGGAAATTAAACAATTGTGTTCTGGAAATGTTTCAATACATGCACACAAAGCCGCCCACAGCCGTTACCCTGCAAAACCTGCAGAGCTTCCCCCTCTGTGGTTCAGCTCTGGCATGGAGGCAGGAAAAGCAATCAGTCCCTACAGCCAGATCCACAGTACCATGCTCCAAAACCAACTCGTGGTGGGCTCTAGTGTCCGAGCTCCCTCCAGCACCGAGCATGAAGCCAGCAGGCTTCAACACTAAAACAGAGGACTGGGCTGTTGCAGCAACTGCGGGTTTTCAGCCAAAATGGGTTTTCATTTACAAATGCAAATGTGTGTGGCTGCTCACAGGATCCAACGCAGTGGTGTTTCTTTTAAAATAGACGTGAACCAATATAGCGTCCTATCAAACCGCTCTGGAAATCTAAATATAAATGTGAGGAAACAATCACGGCCTCTTTCTCTTCCCAACAACAACAACAAAAAGCACCAGTCCGACCTGTCAGAGCGCTCAAATTCTTCAAGAGACTGAAAATGTTTCCTTCCACCTGATCTCAGTCTTAAAGTGCCTTTTGATATCACAATCACAGAGCAAGTAAAAATAACACAAAGTGAAATAAGTGTGTGTGTGTGTGTGAGAACATCAAACACTCGAGTAAGAAGAATGTTTGTTCTGTTTGGTGGTGAAACACTTCAATGACTGGTTTACAACAAAGAAGGAGATGCCTGAGCAAACAGGTGAGACTGATGTACAGAGACCCTGACCCTTCTGCACATGTTGATTTGTGTTTATCATTATTTAAATAATTTGGGCTCAAAAGTCTGTATTTAATAATCACCTCTCAGTGTAGTTTTTTCTGGGACAGCCTCTGAAAATATGTCCACTCACCACGGTGACGCGGTGTGAGAAACTATTCATCACAAACACTTCACGGTTATTTTGGTGACGTGTTTGGATAATTCTACTTTTTTTGTCTCAAATATATTCTCGAAAAAATAATTGAATTTAATCAACAACTGTTTGGAGCAGAGGATAAAGTCAACGTTTCCATTTTTACTACTTCACAGAGAAAAGAAAACAGTGTGCAGCTCCCCCGTCTTGTTTGTATTTCTATGCAGACACTTCACCACTCCTCCGCCTGTTTCATTTTACTACACCCGATAAGGACAGTCATAACAGCCTTGTGTTTTTGAACTTATGATGACATGTTGAGCATACATTGTAAATTAAAGGGGTCGGATGACAGCTTCATTGCGATGTTTCAGGAGTAACTCTCCTCACAAAGTGTTCACAGGATGCTTCAGAGAGCCGGCAGCCCACAGAGGGAACATGCAGCAGCAACACATCAGTGAGCCCACCATCACTGATACACAAACACAGTGACACACTTATTAGTGAGGACACCGACCCCCCCCCCCTGCTAATCCCAGCCATGCACACTTTTCCCAGAAGCCGGTCACCTACGGTACCTTTCGATTTCGCCCCGCCATGTCCATTGATGGCCGAGCCGATTGAATCCTTCCGGATCCGTTTGCTCGGAGGTCGGACGCTGGATCGCAGAAAATGATGCTGGTCCTGACACTGAGGGGCGGGCTCCGCGGAGGTCTGGGGATGCTGGGTCGAGCCCAGAACGGCTCGGTTCGGCGGAGAGGCGGGGAGGACCGGAGCTGAACCGGGGCTGAGAGCCGTGGCTGATGGATTAAGGATCTCCACTCCGTCGTCTCCCTTTGTACTGCGCTCCTCGCTCGCCTGCTCTCCGCTCTCCTCCTCGTCGCAACCTTCGGGCTTTCTGGACGGATTCCTCCTCCCATCGACACCGATCCCCTCCCTGGAGCCCGGTGTCATGCTGCCAAAAACACATTCAGGGACAAATTGTCACATTAGGAGCAAAGCGGTGTGCGAAATTAACTTCTAAAGACGACGTACAGTGTCTCTCAACATGGCCGCCGCTGTTTGTTTCAAATCCCCTCTCCAGTCCCGACAAAACAACACCAAATATTTCCATTTAACGTCTCCAAATAAATTATATTCAACAACTAGCACACTTCAGTAACTAACGGGGGTGTTTTACTAAGTCCCTTTCCGCTCAAAATGACATTTTTCGGGTTGAATTTCAACTAAATTCAAATGCGAGCGCTTTTCAGTTTAGCGCCCTGCAGAAACGACAACGAAACCCCTCGGTGCAATCGACCTCTAAATAAAGTGTTTATTTCAAACATTAATTTACCCATTTTCATGCTCTTCTGTGCCGGGCGACGTCTTCTTCCTTTTCACCATGAGTCCGACCGGTTAGATTTACAAATACTGACCAAACTGAGCATAATAAAACCGATAGCGATTCCTCCGCTTTCTGCCCTCTCTGCTTGCTCTGCTTCGACTGAGCTGAACTCCCTGCGCAGTTCAACTGTTTTCTATCAGCAACAACATTACTCCACAACTTACAAACAAGGAATAAAAACCACAACACCTCGGTCACATTACAGATCATTAATGCACGAATTAGAGAAGATTTCGCTCTTGTTCATTCCGGATGCGCTCATTTGAATTGATAATCACAGATAGTGTTATAAAGCTGTCTGCAAGTGGACTTTGCTTGTCACTACGTCACCGTCGCCTGCACAAATCATGTCTGTAAAGCAATTTATTTCATAAAGAGCATGCCTTTGTAAATACTGACCACATAACCCTATTAGCTAACATTACTATAATCTCATACAAACAATTAATCACACTTCAAAATCACAATCAGGCTTTATTTACCCGGTGCGTGTCAAAGCGAGTGTGTATGGCATTATAAATGTGTTGAAATGAGTAAACATCATAGGAATATTAATATCATTTTGCCTCATTGTTAGGCACTGACTGCTTTTATCAGAAGGACCAGGATGATTGCAGTGCAGAGGGATGACAAAATTAGAAAGCTGAACAAAGAAAGATTATTTGTACATGAGTAACATGATTGTAATAACGCTCCCCTGCTTTCTGCAGCCACACACAGCTGTTTTCTGTCATTTAAGACCTTAATGTCAGACAGAGTCAATAAGCCACTAGATGTAACTGAACTAACATCAATGACTACAAGAACTGACTCATAAAGGTTTTATTTACTACACCTCAAAAGACTCATTGACAGCATGTACTGTAAAGGCAACAAGTATGGATGTTATTACACTCTGACATACACTCTGGTCGTTTTAATCTAACTTGAAACTTGAATAAACACTTTAAAAAACATATTAAAACCCTCTGCATGATATAATAACACTTCTTACTTTGTATTCCCCTGCAGTGTTTCAGTGAAAGCAGCTCAGTGTCTAGTTGTCATAACACTTGTCTTACAGTGTAATGTTACTTTAAATGTCTAAAGTGGTACCGCTTGAATTATCTTTACAAACAGCTGTCGTTAACTTTGTTGAAGTTTTGTTAAAGTATAACACACATACAACACACATACAACAATCTCTACATCCATAACGTGGGAGCTAGCATGGCTGCTAATGTCGGCTAGCTAACGTTAAGGCTGTGCTGGTCAAACGAACCAAAACAAAACTCAACGTAACACGATATGTGGCGCCTCATTCAGCTTGTGATGTAGAAAAGCGTTGTCAAAGTTCAGCAATTACCTTGAGTAGAGTCCCGATGGAGGTATTCCCAAAAGAAACACGGGCTAGCATTGCTAGCTGACGGCAACAGTCCAGCTTGTTACCGCTGACAGTTCCTGCGGTTCGATTGCCCACGCGCTTAGACACGCCCACTACTACTCGAAAACAAATCGTGTGATTGGTCGCAAGTACACGAGGACGACGGTTAAAAATTGAGTGACAGAAAGCTCCGCCAATGATTGGTGAGAGGACTACTGCGAGGGACCAATTGACGTTCTCTTCCTGTCGTGCCGTAAAAGATTCCAGATCATTATTTTCATAATACTAAGCTTGATTCTCTCTTCGACAGTATCATATATTTACTTAATAATCAAGTGGCATTTCAAATAAATTATATTAGAGTTATTTTCGGTCTGAAAATAAGTTCCGCCTAGAAGTGATTGACATTTTGATTGTCAAATCAACTGGTGGAACTCTTGGGATGCACTCGATTTATACTTTGGCTTTTGCCGACAATCACCCAGAAACATGGGCTGGGCTTCAACGTTACAGCTAGCAAGAAAGAAAATATGTCACCATAGGATTTTTGTTCATCAGCATACATATCCTTCGTTCAGTCTAGATGTAGATGTGTTAAATCTCAACCTATAATTTCTTATGGCCCTAATCCTTTAACATGAGGTCGAAAAAAACATTTCGATAATTAAGTTGAAATATTGAGAAAAAAAAGTCGATATGTCGAGAACATAGTTGAAATACAATTTCGGTACATTTTAACTTTATTCTCAAAAATGTATTTCGATTTTATTCTCGACATTTCAACGTTTTTCTTGAAGTACATAATGACAAAAAGTTTCCTCCTCTTGTTAGTTTTTTTTTTCTTTACATTATTTTATTCATTAATTTCTCGTGTCTTACTCTAATCCTTTTCCGTAAATAACACAGACCACATTTGATGTAACATTAAATAAAACCCAGTAGCTTCAGTGCTACTATGACCAAAGTAACAGTCTCGAGTCTCTACGACGATACATTTTTATTTGGTGGGCGGGGTGTCCGGTGATTTGAAACGAGCGCTCCCCACGCTCAGCAGGTTGGCAGTGGACCAATCACATTCCTCCGTGTCACTGCGGGGTGGTCTCAAATTCCTCACTCCGTCTTCGGCTGGGCATGCGCAGACAGCGAAAACTTACTTGGACGTCCAGTTGGCAAACTGACGAAGTTATCTGCGGAACTAGAAGCCTCAAAACAAAAAAAACAAAAAAAACACCATGACTTCGACGAACATGTTCCAAGGGTTGGAGACTGGATCCAAACCAAGTTCGAGGTGAAGAAAATATAAATGTTTAAGCTTGTTTAGATTTGAATATAAACGGCCTTCGATGTGTTATTTGGAGCCGGCTGTACAGATCGCATCATAATGTAGGTTAACATTATGTGACAGCAGCTCGTCGTAGCTGTGCTCTGTTGGTGTATTCAAACATATTGTTAACACTTTAGGATTTGTTACGAGAACATTTACAGCTAACTCTGACTGGTCGTTAAAGTTGAGCTAGCTTGGTGTGAGTTAGCAGACTTAAAAGTGAAGAAGCTAGCTCAGCAGGCGTTGTCTGCGGCTGCCCTGCGGAAGTGGGAAATCCTCTTCAGACTCCTCTTTGTACTCGCAACATGGGCCACATTGTTCCAGTCAAAGGAGGTCCAGTCTCCTGTTTCTGACTCAAAAATATCACTTCCTGGGTCATTCCCTAGAAACACAGCGTCAACATGTGCTGGGGCATTTAGTCACGTATGCTAGTTAAACATTAAGGCTCCTAAACTAGAAGATTATTACACATATGGCGCCAAACCGGGTGTGTAATGACATAACATGTTATATGGCTTATTAAGCTGTCGGCTGTACTGTAACATGGTTACGGTCAGATGACTCACTGTTTTCACTCGCATGATTTTTGTGTGTTTAATGTGAAGACCAACATGTTTCACTTTCCCCTGGGAATAAGGGATTACATCCTCTGATAAGTATCAGCTTTGGTGATTAGGCTCGGTGAAATAGAGCTGCACTTAACTACTTTAAGTAAAGGATTACTCTATTAACTGATGAGTAGTTTGGTCTAAATAATGCTCATCAAAACATCCCTGAGCTCAAGGTTATGATTAAAATGTATTTCTACATTTACTCGCTAGTAAAAGTAGCACATTATCTCATTCACAAGGTTTGAATGACCACATACTGTTAAACTTCAGGCTATGAAATGACCCTGCCTTTATTAGGGAGGGGCCTTTGATTATTTTCAAACAAATCTCGTGCACAGCAAAGATGTGAAAGGCCAAATTACACAAAAAAATAATATTTAACTGTCTATAAAAATAAGAAATAAGTAAACAAATTAAACAAAGCACTAATTTGATCTGGCTTTGCAAAACAGATTACAAACCAGCGTCACGGCCTGCACACATACAGGCATGATTCTGTCTTTCTTGAACAGATGTTGTGGTCCATCTTTATTTGTTGTGTCATGCTTCTTTCTATCCTTAATTGCGATTGACAAACTTTTTTTTTTTAAAGATTCATTTATTCTTTATTTTTGCCTTTTATTTGATAGGACAGTTGACAGAGTAGGAAACGGGGGTGAGAGAGTGGGGAGTGACATGCGGGGAAAGGAGCCACAGGCCGGACTTGAACCTGGGCCGCCCGCTTGGAGGGCTATAGCCTCCTGAATGTGGCGCTACCTAACTGCTAGGCTATCTGCGCTCCATCCACAAACTGTTTCAACACTAAATTTAAAGCAGCCTCAAATTGAGAGCTGCTCTTTATATGTCTTAATGTATGGCAACACCAGGATGGTAATAGGGACTGGACTTTAAACAGGGATGGGCCTTTATTTGAAGTTTTACTGTATCTAACATTTTCTTAAGATAGATTAATCTTTATTTGGTGACTTTAAGACTTTGACGTAAACAACATGAACCATATTGTTCAAGTCAAAGGAGGTCCAATCAAGCGTGTCACTTCTTAGGTAATTTTCAGAAAATAGAGGGTTCACATGTGCACAAGCTTTTAACAAGCCATAGGGTCACCATACTAGAGAGATTTTAGACATATGGCGCCATACAGGGTGTGTAATCAAATAACCTGTTATTTGTCTCAGGCTGTCGGCTGTGCTGTAACGTGTTTAAGGCCAGGTGACTCAGGGTTTTTACTTATCCTCTTTGTGTGTCAGCATGCAAATATACGGCATGTTTCTTAGTTACCAGTAAATATCAACATCCTTGACTCAAAGACATCCTTTCACTTTAGGGGGGGGTTTGGTCTATAAAATGTCAGAAATGTGCCAGATCACACTTGCACGTGTTTATTGATCCAAATACGATCCTATAAAAGTGGTGCTGATGTTCTTTCATATTCTGCAGGGTGTTGCAGCCTCCCGGAGGTGGCTCCAGTAACCTGTTTGGGGGCTATGAAGAGGACGCTGCAGCATCGAGAAGACCTAATAAGATGGCCTCTAAGGTTTTCTCTGCGCCAGAGGAGCCCCAGACCCAGAGTGCACCTAGACGCTCCAATCCTCCAGGTCAGGCCAGCATGTCAGGGGTAAAGGATGTGCAGAGGCAGGCCAGGCCCTCTCAAGGTCTAGGGTGTGAAATTTGTTACTATAATGTGATAACTCCAACATAAACCACTCACTGTGTTCTGTTCCTCATTTCGAGCCACCTCCAGATTTGTGAAGTATGTGGTAGCCTATAGTAAATCATGTTTACAGTCTCGTCTACTGTTGGAAAATACTCTCCAAGCTGGCACTGTAGAGTCACCCTGAATTCCTTATCTGTGGATTTTTCTCTGTGAGATTTTCATCCTTGAAAATGGTCTTCTCACGTCCCTCAGTGTAGTATCTGTACAGAATATGAGGGTATAGTTTTGCCCACCACCAAACCTACTGGGAGGGCAGTTTACGAGTCTTTCAGTGACAGAATTGTTTCTATGACACTGTTGAAACCATAACATGCATTTTGGCCATCCTTTCATGTAGGTGGGAAGAGTAGTGGAATATTTGGGGACCCTGCACCTCATGCTCAGCCACAGAGACCTGTACCTCCAGGTGGACCGACCAGCAACATATTTGGGGCTGCAGAAAGTTCAGCTGTCCAAAGCCCAAGCCGAGGCCATCCAAATAAGCCAAAGGTAGAATGTGCACATACATTTTCTCTTTGTTGTGGATGTAGTTTGACTTGTTTTTATGTGTTTCTTATTCTTTGTTAACCCCTGACTCTTCATACCACCGCAGCTAGTGAGCCTTTAAATTAATGTTTAACCCCAATTTAAGATAAACTTCTAACATTACAGTCTGTAAGAAATCAAACGCACTGCAACTGTGTCGCATATCCTCCTGTGTCAGTCCGTCTTCCCCATAAATCAATAGTGTTTGTGCAACCAGAGCTTCTTAGCTGAGACTGCTGAGTCTTTGCTGCCACAATCTCAGCAGAGGCACATTATTGATTCCAAGGAAATAACTTAAATCAGGTAATTTTCTTGTTTCTGTGAACTTTTTGAGGTTAGTGAAGAAGGCGTTTGTAATCCCAACAGCTGTTTGCAATTAACCCAGAAAACATGGTCTGTCAGGGCGTTTATCCTTCCCGGCTAAAAAGTTTATTTTAGTAAATTTTAAGAAGATTTTGGACAATCTTTTTGCAGTAGCACTTCACTGTGCTGGGCTTCAGCTTTAGATATCTTAATTGCTGACAAACATTATTTATGTTTGTAGCCCCAGCACAGACGCTGAAAAGGAAGATAGGATGTGACCCCGGGCTGTTTTAATGACGAGAGTTGACAGATTAGATCTGAAAACTGTTCTATCCTGTGTCCTACTATCCTGTAAACAATGTCTTCCAAGAGAAAATGCAACAAGCTTTACTTTTATATTCTAACTAAAATCCTATGCCCTTTTATCAAACATTTTCAATGTTAAAAAACACTTTAACAGGGAGATTTCTTCCCTGCAGACTCAAGCCACCGACAGCGTGGGTATGTCTCACTCGCCTGATGTGGCTCGTTTGATCCTTTCCACAGAGCACGTGTGATAAGATTCTGTAAGACTACAAAGGAAACTTTCAGCCACATCGCAGGATGCATTCATCTAAAAATACAGCTGAACTTTATTTTTAAGTTTTCTTTATTTGACCTTTTTTTTTTACATTTTTTATTTTTAGCCTTTTGAGTCTTTTTTTTTTTATGAGAGTACAGGGGACTGGATTGAGAGAGAGAGTGGGGATGACATGTGGGAAAGAAGTCAAAGGTTAAACTCAAACTAGGGCCACCTGCTTCGAGGACTACAGACTCTATTTGGGGGCACATGAACTAACCGCTAGTCCACTGGCGCCAGTATTTGGCCAAATGTAAGATTATTTAGTACACTGTTGAGATTTTGCTAATCTTGTTTTTTTTTTTTTTTACAGGACAATCTTGGAATGGTTCCTGAGCCAGAATCACCAGGTGAGCTTGTTACACCAAGGAGAATATCCAGGAGATATGTGCCATAGTTCATCATACTGGGGCGGCTGTGGCTCAGTGGTAGAGTCGGATTAGTTAATATCGATGGTCACTTTACACAGCAGCCTCTACCATCAGGGTGTGAATGTGTAGGTGTGACCTGCCGTGTAAAAAGTGTCAAAAAACTAGAAAAGAAATGTACAAACTCAAGTCAATTTAGTGTACTTATCACTGTAAAAAGTTTCTTTATATTTTATATTTACTGGGGAAATAACTTCAATTAATTGCTTTGCTTATTGATCCTGCAGTGGTCATTACTTAGTTTTAAAAAGACATTTATTTTTATATTTTTATCATGTATTACATGTAGAAACAGGTTTATAGTCTAAGGAAATGACTCTGTTCTGGCATTTCTGTAGCATCTTTTTTTTTTTTTTCCTCTCCCAGCACCCGCAGCCAAGGTCAGCCAGCCTGAAGTGAAGGTGGAAGCCGCCCCTCCTGCTCCTGCTCCTACTCCTGTTCTTGCTCCTGCTCCTGTTCTTGCTCCCGCTCCTGTGCCAGCCAAGGAAGTGCCCGCTGTTGAGGTTGCAGCCCCCCCTCAGCCTGAGCCCCCTTCCTCCTCCTCTTCCTCCGCCTCTTCCTCACCTTCTCAGAACGAAGAGACCGGTGAGCGGAAGAACCACGAGCCCCATCTGGGACCCAAACCTCGCTCTCACAACAGGGTCCTGAACCCCCCCGGAGGAAAGTCGAGTGTGGTATTCTACTGATGAGCTGAGCACACCTCTCCTCCCCGTACGTGTCCACACACTCCTGTCTGCTCCCCTGATTATCTTCTCTCATTCCAACCCCCCTCCCCTCCTCCCACTGTAACTTCAACTCTACATCCAACCAGGAACTTTGGCTCTTCTCACAAGGTTCCTGATCACTTAAATTGTCCTCAACTCCTTGCACTTTCAGCTCTGTCATTGTCCAATCCTTTATTTTCCTCTTTGAATCCTGCAGTCATACAATCACCAACTGATCAATCAACCCAAGCTGTTCCCTAATCCTTTTACCCGTGACACGGTTCGGTCCCGGCCTATATCGTCTCGCTGTTCTTCTGTTTCAACAAGTGTTCTTGTAGTTCGGTTAAAGTATTTTTCATGATGCAAACCTTTTTGGAAGACTGGTTAAAGACGTTGAAGTGTCTTTGCAATATTCGGCTTTAAACAATCCTCGACTTCAATAACAACTTCAATCCTGGCGTTCAGATTCACAACAGAAATGTGCTTTAATATCGGGGTGCTTGTTTTCAATAAGCAGACGCTCAGTCAGGAGGAGGTGAATACATTTTCTCGCTGATTTAAAAAAAAAAAAAAAAAAAAAGCTTCAGGGAGTTCCACTCGTGCCATCTTTTTATGCATTGCCAGATCCTCATTGGCTGACTACATAACACCTTTAGTTAAGCCACTTTTAAAATAATTGATGTCGGCTAACAACAAACGACTGTAATCAAAAGGCCTTAAATCAGCTCTGCATTGTTTATGTTTTGTTGCCTTCTTATTAATTATTTGTTTGTGTGTGACATTGCTGACCTGCTGTCTCAACACAAATGATTCAAAGAAAAAAATACCAAAAGTTAACTCTTAAACAAAGACGAATGTGGTTGTTTCCTCTCAAATGTTTCCGCTTCCTTAAAAAAAATTCCATTTTTGATTTGATGCGTTGTATTGTGCAGGTACTTTTCTGCTTGGTCCTCATTGCTTGCTGTAACTGAAAACATGCCTCTTTTGTTTTGTTTTGCTTGGGGTAGGCCTCTGTTTATGTTTTAAATTAAAACGGCTGAAGACAAGTGAACTCTGGACTAGCGTGCGGCCTACCTGAGTCCAGGTGGGCTCATTGATAATCAACTTCTCACCCACTTCATGACGCACACTCTCGGTATTCTGGTGCCGGCCTGTCCCCCTCGTGTTGATGTGCCTGGCAGGCAATGAGTGCAGCAGAAGAAAGAAGTCCTGTGTATTGCAATAAAACTGTTGTTTTGCATTTAGAGTTTGTTTACGTCATTTACTTTCCAAAAGCACATCAACAACATTTCTTCTCTCAGTATTTGAGCTCCAGTGGTGGCTTTTATAAAGCGTGTAGAACTGAAACACTTTGAGAGAATGTCATTTTAAGAAATGACCATGCATAAAAAAATTTTTAAGGTCATTGTGAATGAAAGCCATCTCTTTTCTGCTCCACTCTTAGTTATTTATTTGAACAACAGACACTGATGTTTATGCCTTTAGCAGCACTCTAAAAGAAATCTTTAAGTATAAGGAAAAAGGTCACGCTAGGCCCCCAAGGAAAATGAAGTTTTATCTTTGCAACTGCATGTTAGACTCTGTGCTACTGCTGTTATCCCCTAAAAGTAAACAAACAAAGGGTGTAAACATAATGTACTGACAAATGTCTCATTTGACATGTTCATACAGTTTATTACAGAAAAGTGGACTTTAAAGGTCACATATTCTCCTCATCTTCAATCAGTTTAAATAAGTGTCAGAGCTCCTCAAAACATGTGTGTGAAGTGTCTTGTTCTAAATCCACTCTGATCCTGTATTTGAACCCCTCTATTTCAGCCCTGCTCAGAACAGGCCGTTTCTGTACTTTTAAATATGTAAATTAGCTGTGTGGGTGTCTCGGCCTTTCTTGCTCCATGTCCTATTGTTTACGGTGAGAAGGCAGACTCAGTGTCACCCCTCCTCCAGTGTCACCCACCTGGGGGAGGGGCTACTGCCCTTTGTGATGTCATGAAGGGGAAATCTCCAAACAGCCTGTTTGAGAACACATTTTCTGAGAAGTGGAGCAGGCCCAAGACGGTGAGGTGGTGATGGTTTGTATAATGTTTGCTCTTCCTTGATGTAGAGCATCCTGTGACATCCGTGCAGGAGATAACTCGCTCCTGTTGCCTCCAGAGAGAGTCGAGCTGCCGTCTAGAATCTTCGAAGTTCAGTGAAGCCAAAACTCTCATCTCTGCTGTTGGTACAACTGCTGATTTCCATCCATCACCTGACTAATAAAGATTCGCGACAAACACCACAAACAAAGAGATCATCACACCGGGATTATTAAAACAGATTCATGTAAGTTTTCTTCTGCTTTGTCGACCATCACGAGCAGTTTACTGAGACTGAGGGAGGACCGTCGTAGAGCCTCTCAGCTTCTTGAAGAAAGGTGTCAAATGTGAATACTGTCAGTGTTTCACTGCCACCTACTGAAGGAAAGAAGAAAACTCAAGATCCATGCCAGTGGAATGATCCGATCTAAGTTGATTTAATTTAAAGATTTCTCTTTAACTCGTTAATTCTGTAACTTGAATGATCCAGATTTTTGAGCCCTGCTGACATGTATATTAATGCGTCCGTCTCTCTGTCAGGGAGGCGATTTGAAGCGTACAATGTGACGATGAATAATTTAGAAGTGACCACAGGTACACACTGTGAACGCGGGAGTGAGCTGTTCAATATGGAGGTCGTTAAGATTCACTCAGCCTTGGCGTCTGTCGTCCCCCCCCCCCTTATCTGCCTGTTTTTCTGCTTCATTTACTTTTTTTTGTCTCTTTTGTTAATCCTCTCCACAACGAACAATGGCCCGAGTTTAAACACGTCTGAGTGAAGGAAAGTTCAAGTGAAAGATGTTTTCTCGCAGCTCCTCCTCTTTGTTTGTCCTGTCTGGGATTTCATACGTCGTCCTGTCTGTGAGGTCATGATACAATTATCTCTCGTCATGCTGGGGAACATTTCATAATAAACACAACAGTCTGCATCTGCACACTGAACAAGAAGGTTAAAGGTTTTATTTTAAAGCAAATAACCATCACAAGACCATCTAAAGATACAGATCTTAAGCATGACTTCTGTGACGAGCTTTGTGGGTGCTTCATCTCAAAATAATATATTTCAAATGCACCTGATAAACGCTGAGACATACCTCCCTCATTGTGCTTTACACCTCTGCATGCAAGAAGATTTTGCAACTCTGCTCGTCTCTTTTGCAGAGTCAGATGATGCATGGGCGGGTAAACGTCTGACCAGGTGAAGCTGAAATCCTGTGCGAGAACGTACGACTCAAAGCTCCTGTCCCAGAGGTAAATCCTTTTTCTGACCATGTTTTGAAGACTCAAGCTGCACAGCATGGCTAACATCATTTTAAATATGTAAGATATCCAGATAACACTCAACCAAAGCACATACTGAAATACGTTTTGTTTTGAGTAACCAAACTTCTTCTGCCAGGCCCCCCTTTGGCAGTATATTCTATATATATGGACCTACACTGAACAACATACTCAGTAGGGTGTTTGTGGCCTAGTGGTTAGTTCACGAGCCCCTTGTACAGAAGCTGTAGTCTTCAAAGTAAGCAGCCTGGGTTCAAATCTGGCCTGTGGCTCCTTCCCCACTCTCTCTCTGATTTCTGACTGTCCACAATCCTGTCTCCACAATAAAGGTATACAAATAGATCTTAAAACACAATGGCAGTCACTGTCTTTGCTGTCATATTCCTATATTTTTTTGAATTTATCTCAAAAAGTAGGCTCAAGAATATCATTTCAGTGTGTGACAACAAACGGGAAAAACTAACAAACGTCTCCTAAAGAGGAAACAATTAACCGTGACACTGACATGAAACTTTATAATCTGTGATGTCCGTGTGGATTCATTTTCAACCTTCACATTCACCCGGAAGTCCTCTCACAAAGTGTACCATGCTTTGCTGCCAGTGATAACCAGCGTGCGTTGTCTTTGTTAAGCCGTGCCGGGCCCCCTCTGTCATAACTCTGGCCCCCCCTAGGGGTCCCGCGCCTCACTTTGGGAATCACTGCTTTACAGAAACACTAGAGGACACTTCAGAGTATGTGCCTGTTAACGTCATGAATGGACCAAAAAGAAACAACAGGTTATTTATTGTTTTTAAATCTTGACGACACAGTCCAGACAAAGTGTGTCTCAAGAATTATGAGAACCGGAAGTTCCTTAACTCTTGTTCTTGAGGGGTTTTTGTTGGAAATCAAAGAAATCAGTGTCATCTCGTGACTCGGGACTAAAAATAGAGGCAGTAGCCTCAGAGTAAGAGGAGAGTTAGAGGAGTGTGAAACTGTTCTTTGCTCATCTTGACCAAAAGTGAAGAACAAATAATACATTACACTTTAGTCAGGAAACGGTTCAGTTAGTTTCAAAGATTTTCGATGTCTGTGATTGTGGTTTCAGCCTCCTGAAGCATACATTATCAGATGATTGGTTTTTTTTTAGAAACAGAAACGTTGACTCAGTTTCCTCCTGTGTGGGGTAAACCAGCACGTGTCACACAGTTCTTATATTTGGACCCTCTTCAGAAGGATCTGGTCTGCAGCAAATATTGAAGCGGAGAAGCTGATCACAAATTCTCACAAAAGCTCTGATCTTTAAACTTCAGATCAGTCAGTGTTAGAATAAATTATCGTCAGGCTTTCTGAGGGCTCGTCATGATTGGTTGCTCTTGTTTGTCTGGATTTTTAAGCTTTTTGTTTCATTTTTCCGAGAATGCATTGTCATTATTATTAAATTTAGGCACCAGGTCCTGCTGATGACTGACATCAAGTGGGTGTACGGGTAACGTTACGACTTCCGATCAAACCTTTCAAAATAAAAGCTCTGGTATAACGCAAATGTGGAAAAGAGAGGACTCAGTTTATTAAGCAAGCCGTACCCTCAGTACTCTTAACTATATTTTTTATTTAATTACGATAAAAAAGTGAGGACTCTTACAAGAAATATTGCAGAGATGGACAAATGATGTGTTACATATGTGGCGTTGAGGCACTGAGGGAAAACTGGACTCTAAATCTCATTGTGGCTCTGAAAATTACTATTTGACATTATATTCAGATTTCTGTGGCGTCAGAATATTACTAAACGATCCATACTGAGGCTTTAGAGAACAACAGACTAACACAGTTAGTTCATTTAAGTCTTCATAGTTTGTCTTTCTAATAAACTTTATTTCAAAGCACAAATTTACAAAAATACAGTGTAATGACAAAAGTTAAACTATAAGTACTCGGGGCGTCGGTGCAGTGGTTAGTGCCGCGCCCCTCATACATCCCCACAGCCTCCCGTACGCTGAGGTCCTCCAAGTGGGTGGCCTGGGTTCGAATCCGACCTGTGGCTCCTTCCAGCATGTCATTTCCTTCTCTCTCTCTCTCTCCCTGATTTCCATATCTCCAATAAAGGAAGACAAAAAGCACAAAAATAAACCTTTAAAAAACTATATATATGGGGCGCTGGTGGCGCAATGGTTAGCGCGCGCCCCATGTATGGAGGCTGTGGACCGGGTTCACGTCCCACCTGTGGCTTCTCTCCCGCATGTCGTTCCCCACTCTCTCTCCCTGATTTCTGACTCTATCCACTGTCCTATCTCTAATAAAGGCACAAAAAGCCCAAAATAAATCTATATAAGAAAAAAAAACTATATATATCGCCTATATAAATACAAAAAGATGGCCTACCTCGATTATAAACAATAAAAAAAAACAGACATAAACAGAATAAAAGAAATATTAATCAAAAGCAGAAAAGTCAGGGGACAACACAACAAAACAGAAACATTTAGTTTAGTTTACATTTAAAACATTTAGCCTAATGAAAACCTTCACTCGGGAGCAAAGACTCACAGAGTCTCTATGTAGTTTGTTGCTTTATTTTGAAATCGTGACGTTGTTTTCCGGTATCGCGTGCCTGACCTGACGCACCGAGTCCGCTCGCTCGATGCAGACGGTGTGACGTCAGCCAGATTCGGTCAGCTGGCTCCTCCATCTGAACAGCAGGGAGAGCCTCTCCCAAAGGGAGACATCACCATCACCGCCCGAGCCCGGAGCAGCGTCGGCAGCCCGCTGGAAGGGAAGCAAAACATGGAGGAGACGATAGCATAGAGGCAGAGCAGCAGCAGCGAGAGATTATTTATTTACATATTTATTATTTATTTATTTATTTCCCCTGCCTGTAATGGCTGGGGTCCATGTTTGCGGCTGC